GTATGAAAAGGAGAGTGAGATAATGTGTGTGTGTTTTTCTGCAATAAAGAAATTCAGGGTCATTCTTTACAATGTAATTACTTTCCTGTCTATTATAGTGTAGTGTCAGGTATTCACTTCAAACCTAACCTTAATCGATTTTAATAAATAGAAAAGAACACATTGTATTGTTGGGTCTAAATTGACTTTGACAGCCCAGGGGATTCAAAGGAAGCCATTACTCAGAGAACCACAAACCGTTTATTATTATAAATTACGAATTATGGTCAAATTGCAGCATTGCCTTCTATTTTTCTGGAATCCCATAAAAAAAAAAAGTTTTTTCTTTGTTAAATTGTATTTTTTGTATCCCCTTTTGCTATATTGAAATCAAAATCTTATTGCCACTAAACAGTTTCTGGGAATTGGATTATGTTACTTTAAAATCCAATTTATTTGGGAGAAAATAGACTATATACTTAAAGTATTCAATGGGAAAAACCATGACAGCAAAACAGTGTAAAACTGAAAACCTTGCTAGCTGGACATTTAGCGTGTCCTTTGCTTTCAACCACATTCTATCTGCATGGTGTTAAAGCTAGTTGCTGATACGTTTATTTACTATATAGTAACTCTGATGTCAATGAAGGTGTACAAATATTTCTAAACCTTAATAAGCACACTACTTGGTGACAACTTTTCATGCAGAGCACTGACACAATTTCAATTTCCACCTTGCCAGCGGGTAATATTATGCCAGAACCCCACTTTGACAATTCCAAGGCCCGTGGCTGGGGAACAGAGGTGAACATTTCCATATCACTTGAGCTTGGTTAACAGCATGCAGTTTACATTAACAGTGGTTTCTGAAAAGTATGCATGGAAAAAGATTCATTTGTCCAGGTTTTTAATTACATAATGGTTAAGAGCTTGGTTTGTTACTCTTAGTGACAAGGAGCAAGAACGGTTTGCAATCTAATTAGTATCATTGCAGCCAAGTGAATACACAAATCTGGAGTTAAAGCCCAACTAACAATACCATCAAAAGGCAATTGAGCATTCATAGCAAGGGAAATAGACACACTTCGAAAGGACTAAACCCAGATTTCACAGAAGGCATGCTTTCAGATCATCCTAAAGATTCATCCTGAAACCTGTCATGACATTCACTAAACTTTTCAGTGTGCTTTTGTTTAAAATTAGCTGAATTTTGAAAAGGTATGAAAGTGAATCAAATTCATTCACTTTAAACAGAACATTAGCATGCCCTCCATCAAAGAAAGTCAAGGGGATCAGTCTAATCAAATCAACACACACACCATACATCTGCATTTCTTTTACCTGTTGACAGCTCCTCATCTTCATCTAGTTTCAGAGGATTCTGGAAGACGTTTCTGAGACTGGATGAGACCCTTTTTGTATCCTGATGTGACCGAGTTGATTTCTGATCATCAGGTATTGAGGTAGAGGGCAAAAAAACTGGGGCTTCATCATTTTTTAAAGCTGGCCAAGAGCGAGAATATGGCGATACCGCATAAGGCACTGGGCTGACTTGTGACAGAACTGGTTTCACAGAATTCTCTGGTGGGAATTGATTTTTTAATAGAGGGAACTTTGAGGCCCACATGGAATGCTGGGATTGCTGTGAGGACATCCGAATGCCTGTTGGTGCTTTAAAAGAACTTTGAGAAAATACTGGTTCTCCCAATAACTTGGGGCACTGGGGTAGTCGTGACCTGTGAGATGAGTCTTGGTTATTTTCAAGCATATCCTTATGGTAAACTTTGGGTAAAAAGGTGAACTCCGTAGAGCTTGATGGTGAAACTGTAAAGGTAGACCTAAGAGTAATGGATAGTGATGGAGACCAGGAAGGATATTCTTGTAGGTTTGCTGACCATTCACCGTCCAAAAGTGAAGCATCAGACAAACATAAACGAGGGGAGTGTAAAGATTTGGGGATCTCAGACTGGGAATGTGGCAACAGGGATTGAACTGGTGCTGTTCCAGAGATAGATCTTGACTCGTTGACAGTGGGAGAGATGATGGACATAGATGACTGAGAGGCTGTTGCTGAGATGGATGTCTTTGTCTTTGAAGTTGCAGGACTCTCAACAATGGGGCTACTTGGGGCTTTATTTTTGGATGACATTTCTGTACAAAAGAAACTATACTATAAGTATACACATATGAATTTAGGAATAACACATTTTTTAACTAGCATTTATCATTCCATAGAGAATTGTTTTTAAAGACTTGGACTACCCTTTACATGTTTGATTTATCTGATTAAATCCATTAAGACAGATTACACTAAATCAAACCTTATTAGTATTTTTCTGATATTAATTTTCACATTGCATACATTTTTCTTAGAGCTAGCCATTTTTGGGCTTTACAGACGGTGACTTAGTAAGTGTTTTAGCAAATCAGCAGTGTGACAAGATATCCATCTTTCCTCATCATAACAGATGTGTTTACCTAGAAAAAAACATCAGATCAATATCCTGAGTGCATAGTAGCTCATACACAGGCTTGAAAAAAAGATTTGCTAGGAAAACACTCTAAACTCCTAAGATAAGCTGAAAACCAAACGTTATATGGGCTTTGACTTATCCTTGTAACACACAGCTTACCTTTGATTGAGTGCTCTGGTTGCGAAGTCTGACACTTAGACGAATGGAGCTTCTTGGCTGATTTGAGCTGTACAGGTATGCCAGAAAGTATGGATGGTTTTGAACTTGGGGAGGAGTTGACTGCTGTTGAGAACCTACTACTAGCCAGATCCGTTTGGGATAGTGGTGTTAATTCTCTCCAACTGCTCTTCTGAACAGCGGGGATCCTGTGTGGAAAATAGAGAACTCATAGCCACCTGTTGACTGTGAAAATGAAATATTCACAAAGCAGTGACAATCTGACGTAATGCTTGTGAAATGTTAGACATTAGTAAATTAATGTTATAAATCTATATGTTTGAGATTAGTACATATATTTTTCATAAAATAGCAAAAGGTCTCATATTCATCAGAGGATATTTCATTTATTCAATTGACATGGAAAGGACAGCACCATTTAAACAAATAATCGGGTCCTTTAAAAGGTAACCTTTCACTTTAAATGTACGTTTTCTCACCCTTACTGGGAAATTAGTATAATCAATGTTCCTAATCATGTAAGCCATTTTGTTTTACAAAAGTACATGTACTTCTATTTCAGTGAAGATTGTGTCTGTTTTGTCAGCCTTTGTTGATGGTTCTTCAAATGCTTTTAATTGGCCTTACCCTCTGTTGCTTACAGCCTTTTGTTCCACATCACATATTACTTCCATGTCTCTGCATGTCTGTAGAGAATAAATAACATTATTGAAGTCAAATGAGTGAGGGGGAACTTGCTCATTATTTGATTTCTGGTGTCTAAGGATGGGAACTAAGACCTGTTTACAAAATGTCAAAGGTTGTGGAATTATGTTGCCTTCAACTTATCAATCTCTTTGTCAATGCTGGCAGGTAATAGAAAATGTACACTGATTGCAATAACATCGTTAACTCCCCAGTCTAATAAAAAACATATTTTTCTGTAAAGGGAGCAAAAATTGATTTAGAACCGTTAAGTTAATTGTTCATATTGTATCTTAATCGGTTAAGTTTTATATTCACATAATTTAAATGAAAACATTTAAATGGTGTCAAATGGAGGTTTTCTGCTAGCATCTACTAAGCATGGCACTAACGGGATTTCATCAAGGCTGAGCCAACAGCAGACTGCCAGGTGCCGATTGGACAGGATGTCAGAAGTGAGTCTCCTGTGAGCAACAATAAATATGGAGCCATATAGAGCTAAGTAGATTCTGATGGAAAACAGTGATAATACTGATAAAAGACCCTCAACCCACAGATCATTCTTGCTGGTGCTTAAAACTTGTGTCGTGTACGAGTTTCCAAATAGTAAACTGAGCCAAAAATCAACAAGAGTGGTTGATTTTAGCTAAACCTATTAAAACCGACCCATGTGCTAGTGTTAGTGTGTGGGACTGGTACGTCTTCACTACATAAAGTAAATTTGCAGTGTCAATTATGTTAAGAAAAGCTTGTGTCTTTCTCACCTCATCCAAGACTTCTATGACTAGGCATGATTCAGGTGTAGCAGACTGTGGCTCGGTCCAATTCCTCCAGAGAGGAATTTCAAACAATGATGTACAGTAGCGATGAAAATCTTCTTCTTCAGCTTAAGGAAAAACAAATTTAAAAAAGGTATGAGGTAGGAAGAACAATGCTGTATTTTTCTTGTCATTTTCCCCACAGATTCCCTTGATTTGCTTTTCATCTTTACTTTTAAAGAAACTTCAAGGAGATTCTGCAATCCATTGAACATCCTTCATTGAGTGTAGACAATTCAATTGATAGAATGATAGAATTTCTATTTTATTTCTGATGGTATAAACTTATGATACCCTCAACAGCATTTTTTTTGCTTGTTTCAAGTTTTTGTTCCCTCTGACTGTGAACAATCGAAATGGACTTGACTATCATCTCATGTCACCTCCTCCTTCAGGCATCACAATTCAGTGGCATAGGGAGCCATGCATGTATAACTTTGGTGTATTGGTTAACCTGAAATCCGTTTCCTGACACAGCAGGGACCCATAACGGCCATATGACTGCTCATGCTGCTGGAGACACAAAGTTGTGGATCCCCTTAATCTTTGTGATCTGGGAATATATTAACAACATTATGTACTAGGAATCTGAGTGGCTAGCATCAGTATTTGTGCAAGTTTGCCATGACATGCATCTTCTTATCTGAAGATGGATCTATGAATAAAAGTGATTTATATTTATATTATACTATATCTAACTTTCCCCCTTCTTTTATTTATCACTACAAGTTGTCTCTCAGTACAACTGTACACACACTCCAACATGTTCTGTCACAACACCACATGAGTCTGACAGCACAGGAAATGAGAATTTAAAACAAGGGGGCGCTCCCCACATGATGCAGGTAAACAGCTTTTATTATTCATGTGCACACACGTGTCCCACACTTTCTTATTCTAAGACAAGAGAGGAGGAGACACTCTGAAACCTGTTGTGAGAGGCATGGATTAGGGGGAAAGTTTGAAGCAGGTGGTAGGAATAGGTTATCAAGTACTGAACAGCTCTACATTTCCAAAAGACACAACCACATTTCTCATGTTTGCATATAACTATGCAAATATATGGTAGGATGGTGAGAATCTTCAAGCATGTAGACAGTGGCGTAAGCCCATTTGCCACTTTCAGGGATATAGAGGCCAGGTTCTTCAATATTATGAGGCAAAAACCAACTATTCAAAACACTATCAGTAATCAGGGAATATTGCAACTGGATTTACAACCAGTTTTTAAAAGAAGCTTGATGTAGCATTTTGTCAATCAAAAAATTACTTATAATAGGACTCAGCTTTTGACACTGTAAAATCTAAAACAAACAATGCCAAAAACTGGGCTATCAAGCTGAAAAAATAGAGTCTTACATTTTTATCAGCACAACTAAAAGCTCATTAAAGTCAGCTTTATTTTTTCTTACCACGAAGCAAAAAATAAAGCTATACCCAATCTTATCATACTTATCAATAAATTCTATTTCTGGGTCAAACTGGTTGCTATATATTTCCTGAATAGACTAGAATGATGATGGACAAATTGGAGCGATGTCAAGATATAACAAAGACTCAACATATTGTTACAACAACTCAAACGTGTGTCTTATTACCTATTACTGTAATAATTGCATGGAACTATCTTGACCACAAAAATCTGAAAGTAGTAATTATTTAAGACAGGGCAGGGAAACCCAAGAGCATGTAGATCATATTAAGGTCAGAATCAGAGTCAGCCTTGACTGGTGAAGTGAAAGGCAGTTGACAACCTGGCGTCCAAAGGTTTTAAAGCGCAGAGATAACCTTGGTCTACCCTTGTCCTTTGGGTCATGGCTGGGGGGTAAAAAGTCACTCTCTGGCTGATAAACCCAAAACAGTGAACCCAGACTACAGGCCAAACCCAACCCCCTCCAGGTGTGAGCCACCTCTACTAACCCTCTGCCCACACATTCACCGCCAGTGATTACCCATTAAACTGCCACGGATGAATGGGCAAGCATTGATAGCCTGACCTGCTGAGAGACAGAGATTTTTGCAGTCATTTGTTTGTATATCTGAGCGTAATATGTGTGTGCCTGAGAAGATGATCTCTCAGACTAGGCTGTCTTGTGTTTTGTTGGTTTGCATTGAGAGCCTGTTTATGATGTGTGTTTCAGAAAGGTTTCATGTACAACAAAAGCATGCAGCTCTACGGGTATTAATGTTCTCTTTTAGTGACAAGATGTATATGGACATCTGTGCACATGCATGTATGGGGCCATGTGTAAAAACATGGATTACCAGATAAATTGCTTGTAATCTCCTCTTTAGTGTCCATAGCGTTCAAAGATTTTAAATCTGGTCCAGAGCCATGTGATGAATGGTCACTCCCAACCGATATTCTGTAAATAAAAAGATACTTAACATTAGTGAATAAATCTAGATCTAAGGAAAGGATGTCTTGCATTAATTAGTAAAAAGAGAAGTATTGTGATAGCTACTTCACTAATCACTTTTTAGATGACATAGATATCTTATAAACATATCAATGTACTATTAAAGACTAAGAATTAGGCCTTGCATCTTTTGAAAATCCAAAATTGGTAATCTAAGGTTCTGTTCCCTTATCTTATAATAACGAGCCCTTAACAGACTTTTGTAGAAGTTGGAGCAGGGGAGCCTATCCCAGCTGCCATTGGACAATAGGTGGGGTACCAATATTGAACTTATCAATTAAAAAAAAATTACCCTGGAGTGTCAGACTTTGCACAACTGTGCTTGCAGAATGAAAATTTTAAGAAATGCAGGTAGCGGTTAGTTTACTTCTAAGAAATATAGCTGTACAAGCTTTTGCTTTGAATTCTTCTGTGCTCTGTTCACATATGTGAATATGTGACACTTGATGTTAAGACAGGCACTCAGTAACCCCCTGACTAATGCACAGTCAGCACAGGATAGCAGAGTGACGCTGTTCTGGACACAGGCTTGTTTTCTATAATGTTCAGTCCATGCACAAATCTACCGGGATGATAAGAGTTTACGACTCTAATATAGCTTAGCGCTTTTAGCAAATTCTTTAAAGCTCCCCTCTGTTCCACCCTCCTTCCATCTCCCACTCTTCCCCCCATTATTATTGCAGCTTGTTAAAATTCAGCCTCTCTTTTAGTCTTCCTGCCAGCCAACAAGTCTCTCTGTTTCTCCATTAAGCTCTGCCACCATCACCGCTGCAGGCTTATTGCACTCCAGATTGGCTCTCTGGTCTATTCCACAGTTAAAGGCTGCTACAATTGGGGACTGTGAGCATTCCTGCTCAGGCAGTGAGAGGGCCTAAAACGGCAATCTGTTCTCCCTTCTCCTGACCTGCTCTCCATTGGAATACTCACCCCCAAAAGGACCTGCTTAAATAAAGGTTGTGATAATGCTGAAGCCAAACCTGCAGGCAGTGTACTTCAGAATAAGTGGAGAGATATTGCTTAGTACACTAGTGACTTATGTGGGCTGACTATGGTGAGACATGGGTGCATGTGTGTACATGAGTGTATTTGTGTCCCATGATACAAGTGGTAAGACTCGATGTAAGAGGTTTGTGCGTGTGCGGTTGTATCATTTTACAGTGTTGCAGGAAAGACCTCAGCAGTTTAGTCAGATACAGGTCAGATACATATCCATTTCCAATGTTCATAGGTGAACGTACACAGAATTTTTAAAAGAAATAAAGAGACCAGGCAACCATAAAAACAGAAACATATCATAAATATTCATTTTAGTGTTTCAGAGTTTTACTGTAGAATGGGCTGTAATTAACATTTAAAACTGTAATGAGTTGAGTTGTAAAATATATTTCACTTAATAAACAACAATTATTCTTTGCTTAGCAACCACATGTTTAGAAGATTTTTTTCTAATGAGACTTATGTTTCTTTACATTCTGAACTTTAAAAAAAGAAAACTTTAAATGAACACAACTGTATTGTCAGACAAATAATGATGAAAGAACAACAATGATTTTTTTGAGCCTGTTAAATTAAACCCCATGAAAGAAGCCTGCACAAGGTTCTCAGTATCTACTGTGTTTGAAGACAGACTGACAGCATTTGAAAGATCACATCAAGACCTTATTCTTTTGCTCATAGAAAGCAGTATCTTCGATCACACTGGGTGTGACTCAGTTTAAGGATGAAGTGGTGCTATAGAACCCCACAGTTCAGCACAGGTATTGTACTCAGAGGCTGAAACCATCTCAACCTGCAATGGGATTTTGTGTAACCTGGTAATAATTGAGATTATGACATTGTAGACACAGTAATCATGTCTGTAAAAGAAAAAAAGGATATTCCTCCTCACTTCATATTATTTTCTTTGTTTTCATGAGAGCTGCATGGTTGTTCATTTTATCTCCTTGTAATCGGACATTACCAAGGTTGAATGGAAGAGCTTGCCATTTTCTTAAGTGAAACATTTAGGGCCTTTCTCTGTGCAGTAGATTTTGAAAATCTAAATCATCTGCTTTTATTTATAAACAACTCCCCAAATACGTTCATGACATCTCCGATGTAAGAGATGTCAAAAAAGGTCAGCAATAGGTCAACCTACTCGTAAAATCTGTTTTCACAAAAAGACTCTCAATGGAAATAAAAAAATACTGAGTATTCACTTGCAACTACTACAGAGAACAGCTCTTTGTTTGCATCATAAATTATGGTGGACAAGGATTTCATCTGATTCAAATTTAGATCAAGATTACTTTATCAATATTACACGGGTTTCACATACTGACATTTGTTGAACAGTTTTAAAGACAAATAAAATTAGCACAGATGCAGTTGCCATGAATCACATTTTTCATGCTTTAATTGATTATTAACACATAATCAAAATGTATAGAAAATGTAATGACTAAAATCTATATGATGTGCAGGGGCATTGTTGAGTCTACCTGCGGTGCTTCTTCAGAAGCAGTCTGTCCAAGTAGGTAAGGTTGTTTTTTGTGAACTCCACCTTGACAGTTATCCTTTCGTCTGTCCCTTTTCTCCGTTTCTCAGCTTCTCTGTTCATAGTGAGGTCAGCCTGGGTTGCCATTTCTGAGACGGATACTGGAAGAATATGGGTTGAAGAGGATCACACAAAAAAAAAACCGAGATGAGAAAAGGATAACAAAAAATAAATAAAAAGAGCCAATAGTCAAAAAGATGCAAATCTAACTTCAAGACGTACAAAAACAACACGTCAATGGGCCAAAAATGTCAAAATACAGACGGAGAGCCCTATATGAATAAGAAAAATATTTATCAAACACGATAGGAGCAGACTGAGCATAGGAGAATAGTAAGATAGAAGTAAAAGAATTTCTATGATTATTTCCAAGTCATTTTCCTAACCCACACTGGCCACTTTAAATTGGGCCTGGGTGCTACTGGCTTGACAAAAATAATTAGGGCTGGAGGGGCTAGTAGCAATTTGCTTTATTGCTTGGACACACTTTCCTACTCTCTCTTCGCTCTTCTCGTAAAAAAAATAAATGAGAAAAAAACACTGAAATGCCAGGTAACTGTGCTCCTAATAAACATCGACATGAACATGGACACACAATTAAACGTGAAGATTTAGAAACTTATTTTTGTTTTTAAGAAATTAAAAGCCTGCTATAGTGGAATTTACATATAAACAGCCACAGCTGAAGCAAATAATGCAGTGGTGTGGAGCACTACCCCAAACACTTCTACTCTCATTATCCTAATATGGAGCGGCTATGTATTATCCCCCTGACTGCAGAGGTAAGCACTTTCCATCAGGGCCTAACTGATCAAAGCAGAGAAAGCAGAAGGGAAGACAGGAAAGATGCGGAAATGTTGAAAATTGAGGAGAGACAAGAAGGAAATAGTGAGAGGTGAACATTAAAGGCATAACATTTTTAGGTTTTTCCTCTTCAAAGAAGCATTTTTTCTAATATAACAGTATGTTCCACATTGGAATGGGAGAACAATGATGTAAGAAAAGTCTCAGCCTATTGCCATTGTTGCCTGGTTAGTTTTTATTTGGCTAAATAACAAACTAAACAAAAGAGGGGCGGATAGTGAGAAAGTAAAATTACAGGATCTCTGGCATTACCAGAATAACTTCATCACATCACAAAATGTAAGACCTGCAACTGAAAGAGCTTATAGTGTGTCATAACCTTTTAAGCCAGCAGTGGACAGATTTATGTAAGGCTTATGGTTATGAAGAACAGCAAATGAAAACAACAGTTTTCATTTGCACTGTCCGTGCATGTCAAGTGTTTGAAAAATTGTATTATTCCAGCGAGCCCAGTGATCTCAGAACAAATGGAAACTGAATTTGCTTTCATAGCTAGAGAAAGATTAGGTACTCTGATCTATGATTACAACCCCCTGATCTAATGTAACAAGGTATATATATATATATATATATGTTTAACACAAACCTTCTACCAAATCAAATGGGTTTTAGAGAACATGTATACTTTTCTCATTACTTAAGATCCATCCCCCACTGAAACCAGGTAGCTCATTATCAAATGAGAAAAATAAATATATGTTTTGGCACGAAATGTTAAACCAAGCCAAATTGGAAAAAAACAATTGGTTTACGAAAGACTGTCGAGTGTTAATGCTGTGGAAATGCAACACCTAGAAATAAATGAGTGCAAGAAACAATGTCTTTGATGTTCACCTGATTTGGCATGTGTCCATAGTGCCTGAGATAAATTTTGTTCTTCTTTGTGACTCTTCTCTCCTCTCCATATTTTCAGATCCTCCTCGGAATGACCTGATGACGACTCTTTATTGTGCTGTCCGCTTTGAAAGTTAAAGGGAAATTCTCCCAAATGATCTTCAGTTAATCCCACATTTTTCTCATCTCCATGACCTCTCACCAAAATCTACAACAAAAGAAATATGTCATGACCAAACAACCAATGGCCAAAATTTAGTGAAAGAACAAGAGCCTCAAGGTAAAGTCAACAATAAATCAGACGCTGCCTCCTTATAGTCTTGCCTTCTCGTGTTGATGAATACACATTTCTTTATCACAAAACCAGATCCATAATGATAACACAGATAAATGGAACTTCCATATTGAACCAGCAATTAAACAAGTGACGGTAGCCATTGCCATTTCAACACTTAGGTTGAATTCTACAATTATAACCTTTTTTTTTTTTTTTTAGTACCTTCTAACCAAAGCTCTTTGAGATTCCTGCCAAGTGAAAGATGCCAACTGAGTTCTGTGGTGTAAAGAGCCTGAAATTCCAATCAAACTGTTCTTGCCAGATCTACACTGCTGGAGGGCTTTTTTTGTTTTCCTGTCCAAAGGTACATGCATTTCACAAGCCTGCCTGTAGATACTGCCTGTGGATGCAGCATCAATTAGGGTTTGTTTTAAGTCTTGTCAATTGACTCTTAGGGCGAGAGGCAGAATTTACATCATAGAACTTGTTGGATATCTTTCAATTATGTTGTCACAGCACAAAATATTATCCACCGTCATTAATGACCCTACCAAAATCATATTAAATACTACGTCCACAAATAAATAAACAAATCAACAAAATAGCAATTTAAGCTACGTTAACCTGTTGGGTAGTTTCAGGGTCACCAAAATCAGCAAAGGAATTTCCTTCATAGTCTCCCGTCTCCATTTCTGACATTTGATTTTTTATTCTTCAAATGTACATTTTGTATTCGATGTATCAACCATATAAGGCACACTGTTTATGCCATGCTAAGAGTCTGCTCATGTTCACATTGTTACAAACTCAGCTTTTCATCAGTTATTCAGTTCATACCTGGCAGCAATCAGGGTCCAATTCAGAAAGTTTTTCCTGAACCTCTGTGGCTTTTTCTGGGCTCTCATCTTCTCGTCTGGTGTTGGATGAGATGGTGATATTGGAATTGGTGGATACAAGGAAACTGGGTTTAAAGGTACTGCGAGAGGACCCATCGTCAATCTGTCTCTGCACAAAATTGACAATATCTTGGGTGCTGACATGAGTCTGTAGGTTTGCCTGCAACAAAAGATGAACAAAAGTTAAAATACAAATGGGCATTATACAAAAGTAAATCATAATAACATGAAAAATGGCATTAAAGCTAGATTTTAATGGCACTACGGCATCTGAGCATGATTTCTTTGCATTTGTTTGTGCATTTATTAAGCCAGATTTGTGAATATGACAATAGGTTGTGAGGTCTCCCTCTGCTGTTTTACGTTTTTTCTGCCTGAGGGCAACTCGTTATGCTCTTCAAGCAATAAGAAAAATAATAATAAACAAAACCAGAGGCAAAATGAAGTCCCCACATTGATCTCTTTATCAGCATTCTAAATTCTTTCTAATCAACGTTATTCAACATCAGATGAGAGCATCCCAAAAAACAATCCCAAAATAATGATAAATGAAATCAAATTAAATTACAATCATTTTCTTTTTTTAAAGAAGCAGAGAAGTGCATTTCAAAAGAGCATGGGCAGATTTATTGGTTTCAGATGCATCCTCAAAAGTCACACACCGTGAGACTTCTGAGGTCAGCTTCCATGTTTCAGTATATTCAATCTGGTTCCATATTCCAAATATGGGAAAGTGCATCAAGGTGGTTATCAGCTAAAGGTGCAAAGGTCAGTGTTTCTGAGAGTCTGTTGCATTGGTGACTCACATGCAGTAGGTTTGAAGGTTCCATTGATGCAAAGGACTTTCTTTGGAATTTTAGAGACATGTGATGAAAATCAACACATCTTCCTGGGAGGCCCATGGTTAATACAGTGGGACATTGCAAAATATCATTCTGTATGACTTCAACTAGCATGGCTACAAAGACTCAGTGTGTGTGCTTTACTGGCTTATGTACAATACGAATCTATTTTCTATTGAAAATGTGTGAAGCTTTATAAAAAAAGGAGAATCACACAACAACCATTACACACACCAGAAAACTTGTATTGCACCAAAGTGGACATAGAGCAGGCATCAAGCAAAGAGCATCTTAAGTATAAAAACAACAAATATAATCATCAGTCCACAAATTATTCAAACATTATCAAAAGAAGGGGATGCATATAAAAAGATTTAGGGAAAATGTTGAGACTTTGGGGCATTTTAAAAGACCTTTTCAAATAGTCTGTCCTAATTCTGGCATTTATATGCTCAAATAGTAGCATCCTATTTGTCATTTAACTATGGCAGATGAGGCCACTTTTAGGCTAATGTCATCACATCATTTAGAGGATAAAACCTAATCATTTTAAGTGCTCACAATATTACTGAAATAACCTTGAAGGTCACAGCAGTGAACTCCAGTCAATACAGATTAAGAATGCCCCTTTATGCAAATGAATCTACAAGGAAACAAAGTGCAGAGGGTTATTTTTTTATACAAATCACATTCTCAACCTTGGACATTTCAATGTCCAAGGAAGCTACTGACAATATCGGCAAAGGATAAACCACAGACTCAATCCTCAACCTTCACAACGTAATCTAATTCGCAAGACTTCTTCTGACTGAAAGTATATAGTCAGAATCTTAAGCTACATCTAAAAGTTTTACACTACACCAAAGGTAATTGTTTGGTTGTTTAATATGAAGATTTTATACATAAACAATGACATACTGATATACTAGTTAACAGTTTTTCACAGCAGACTTTATTAGAAGCCGGTAAAAGCTTGGGAACCAGAGACACTCTACCTTCAAGATTAGGCTAAAAACTTTTTTGACAAAGTTTATAGTTAGGGATGACTTGGGTGACCCTGAAACTTTTCATAATTATGCTGTTATAGGTTGCACTGCTGGGGGACCTCACATGATGCTCCTTTCCTAATCATGCTGTTATTTTCCTTTTCTCCATGTTCATGACATTGTTGTTATCATTAACTTGTGCTTCCCTTTCTCAGGAGATATCCCTGAGCTGCTGTTATAGTGTTTTCTGTCCCTCTTTCCTGTCCTTTCAAACCCCAGCTGGTCAAGGCAGATGGCCACCCTCCCCGAGTCTGTTTCTGCCAGAGGTTTCTTCCTGTTAAAAGGGTTTTTTTTTTCTCCCCACAGCCACCTCACGCATGCTCAGGGTGGGGATTGGATCGATGTGAGGTTTGGGTGCAATCTGATGTTTTCCACAGTTGTATGATCTTTCATGTCGTAAACAGGGGCAGAATGTAGTCAAAAATTATATTATTTCAATATTTTGTGCCACAAATCCTCATTGGGACAAACCCTGCTGAACTAACTCCAGGACACTTTTTAGCAGTGCATCTAGCTAAAAAGGAAGACTGGAAGGTCACGCTTGTGCATTTATAGAGACACTGAGGTAGGTTTTGAACTTCTCATTTGATTAAATTTAGTGTGTCTAAAATACAGCACCACAAAGTAAATGTTATTCACATAAAATAATATATATAATATTTTTATATGTACATATACTAAATTATATTGGCTTTTGTGATATGTCAGTTTCTAAAAGCAGAATGATTTTTTAAAAAGGAGAAAAAAACAACAACAAAAAACATGTTTATTAAAGTTTTGATAAGGCTTTCTTTTATCATAAGTAATTGTCTTGCTATCCAAAGCACACTCTTTGGTACTCCACATAATAATAACCTAATCAAACACCAAGAATCATTTGTTAACTGATCACTAATTGAACCAGGTGTATGTGTGTGCGAGGTTTGATGAAATGAAGGATAGGATGAAATTCTAAACACTAATCGTCACGCTATCAAATTGATGAAATTGCTATTGCTTTTTGTCTTTTCCCCAACTCAGCCTCAACTCCTTCATCACCCTTTCTGAGGCAAATCAAACAGGATTAGCAGCGAGAGCGATGGCTGCATGTGTGTAATCCCTCGTCTTTGTATCCTGCCAAAATACACAGTTATGCATTATCAGTGACTAAAGTGAGGATAAAAAACCCGGATGAACATCGAAAAGATACAGAGAGTTGTCCAGAGTTGTTCCATAAAGCAGTTTCAAATTGTGCACTTTCGGTCTTTGTCCATGTGAATGGCTTTGTCCTACAATGTTGGCTTCCCATTGTGTTTCAGTATCTTGACCCAACTACCAGACAAGCATGGGAATAGACTGAACAAAGAGCTTCAATAGAAGTATAAGAGGACTTAATGAATGTTCACAAAGCAATACCCAAACAAAAATAGGTGCATAGCTGATCATAAACAAAACACTCAAGCACTGAACCTGAATATGGCAAGTGTTGAAAGAAAATATTTTGGATATTGTTGCCATTCATCAATGTGAGGGGGAGAATTTAATAGATTTTTTTAAAATTATGTTATATTTATTATGTTCATAGCCTTGCATTTAAGTAAAATAATAAATTAATAAATCAATTGTCACTTCTTAAAACTAATGTTCAGAAATGTAATGGACTGTGCATAGTCATGTGTGGTAATGAGTGCCATTGTATTTATCACATTTGGTGATTAAGAGGATGCTTTTTATCCAAACAAATTACATCTTAGGAACAGCAGTTATTGCATACAATACCATTACAGGCAGCCTTATTCTTTCCAAAGTTGCAAAAAGGTTTACAGATAATTGTTTATGCACAGCTCTCTACACATAGGCTCGAGGTGCCAGGTAGCTCAACTACTTGAGCATTCAAATCACGTAACAATGCTACAGTCCTTTCTGCCCCCAATTTCCTGTCAGGCAATTTTGAATACAGGCTACTACGGCCAACAAAATCAGACATTTTATTAGGGCTGATTACTCTCTTATGGATAAAAACACTTTAAAAAACTTAAATATTATCAATCCATTCTAAATTTCCAAAGTTGATCACTACTTTGAACTAGAGTTGTGGTGCTACTTCAGAAGCAGCAAGCATTTTGACTTTTGGGGGATTGTTTTCCTGTTGCACGACTGGAATTTGGCATGATAAGATATTTGAAAATAGAATTGTAAAAATCAAAAAATGTAAAACATTATAATAAGGTGATACTCAAATAATGCAATAACTGCCGGATATTCTGTTTAATAACCCACACGCTTTGAAAATTTTTATATCATGTAGCACCTGCGACCACTATTTCAGGTACAGGACAACTGTGTTTTCAGTTTCAAAATTTAGTGAGCACGATCTGAAACATGGCTGTCTTCAAGCTGCTTAAATCTAATTTAGCTAATTTCATATTTCATTCTTGTACAACTTGCAGCACTCACTAACTATAACAGCTCTTTGTATGATTCACGTTACTGTATTGAGCTTATAATGTGCTTTGCTCACTGTCTCCTAAAGTGCTCCGTATGAAGTAGGAGGGCACATGTCACCCACACTTAAATGTGGTTTGCCAATTAAAAGCTAATTTTATTTAATTTGGTAGAGAAGCTAATGAAAGTTAAGGAAGCCACAGAGTTTTAATACTGTATGAAAGTATTAATTTTCTGAACATGATAAAACGAGTAAAACCGGGTCACCTAGAAAGTTGATTAACAAATTAATTAATTTAATTACCTAGCCTGGCACTCATGTGTGGGTGTTCATATATAAAAAGCTGATGTGGGTTTCTGAAGCAGAAGAGGGGTGCAGAATAAAAGCATTTAGTAGTTATAGGGTGCAGGAATGGAGACAAAATGAAGGAAGTCAAAGGGGAATGAAGTTGGAAAAGATATAATTGAAAGTATCGGCTAAAGAGTCACATGGAGACTGAGACACAAAAGACAAAGGCTCGATACACTCATGACAGTGCTCACCTGAATGGGGACCATGCTGTGGAGCTTCAGTGCACCCTTCTGGTGAAATCTAGCAAAGCAACCAATGCAGAAGTTCTCTGTACATTCAGCACACTTCTACAAAGACACAGTGGCATTAGACAGTGAGTGAGAGACACAGATACAATAGGAAACTGTGGGATATGAAAATCTTAATGGTAAAAAATGTGCCAGTGTATGCATATTATTTAGGCTCAGATGCATGTTTCTGCAAAGTGGCAAGCAGAGAACATATTTGAAGAAAGAAATTAATGCATTTCACTGTTCTCTATCCACAAAACTGCCAAACAAATTTTGAAAAGAGGTATGAAAACTTCCTTCCTAAGGAGGTCATTTGTATTTCTGCTTATAATGTCTGATTCATAGTTGTCGGGGACATCTCGGGGCAACTTTGGGAGGTAATGCCAGAACTGGATAGAAGAGGCTATCGGGCAAAGCCAGTAGTTGTGGGAGCAAAGGCTTATGATGGCAGGATGGAAGATAGGATTAGATTTTTGCTGCAAATAACTATTTCTAAAATTTATGTCATTGAATTATTTCTTTATTGCCCAAGAATTCATCCTTTATATCACGTTTAGAGCAAAGTATCCAAATGAAAGAATATTAGAAATACTGATTATCAGTATTAATTAATTCATTCATTTGTTTTGAGTGACTGGGTTGCACAGGACAAAATAAATGTTTATTAACGTACTCCTAATCATTGTTCAAGATAAACAATGCAGTGCAAAGAAAAATTGCTGCTCCAGACAAATTTCTTAAAGATGAGTAAAGGCCCTTAAGGGCAAAATTTCACCAGCCGATTCATAAATGAATCTCGCTCATTTTTCATAGCTCTTTATCTCATCATCTCCCTTTTTGTTCTTTATTGCTCCTGTAATTAATGTTGTTATGTGTAATACAGAGTCAACCGCCCCACCCCCCTCACATTAACTACTACGTATCAGCGTAGTGTGTGTATGCACATGCAAATATACAGTTGTGACATAGCATTTTAATGGTCTAACATAAAGCAGGGCCTCATTTCCCCTCTTTGGCCTCAGGACAAATTACAGCCACTCCCCTAGGAACAGGCATCCCTATCAGACTACAAGCAGCATATCACAGCACTCAGTGTGCCGTCCACAAACTGACGAGACACTTTTTTTTGGGGGGGGGGGGGGGGCTGGTTGACTTTGAATATAACTAAGGGTGTATTTGCGCATTCATGTGATTTTGGTAAAAAATGGCTTGTCACAACTTAAGCAGCCAAGCTGTGCTATGGCTTTGAAAACGTGCATGTATGTGTGCATGCATGCCTCTTTGTGTGTCTGTGTGTGTAAGATTTTTGCTGAGGACAAAACAGGGGATGTCATATAACTTTTTATTGCCATAACTACATGGCACGAGGGCTGGACAGTTTGTGTGTGCACATGAGAATTGTCCATTGACCCTATAGGTCAATGGAGTATTGGGCCCTTCAATGGACAGTTCAGCACTACAATAAATACCCTAAAATGTTCATCATCACATGATTATTTATGGTACTTAAATACTTGGAAAACGAAAAGAGCAATGACATGGTGAATGTCCCTACAGTCAGTTATACTCTTCTCTTTCCTACATTTTCTGTTCATGTTAGTTCATGTTCATGTCATCTTATTCGTATGCCCATTGCTTGTGTTCTCTGTCTCGTAGGTCTCTCAGAAGCATCAGTTATTCAGCACTAAAGTCTACTGGTCTCATATTGAAAAATGGGATAGAAATTGCACAAGTAGCTGGGGATTAGGAGGTGGAGATGTGGGAGCTACCAGTCATCAAGCATGCATTACTCAGCTTGGTCTGACATAGTCCATTATGCACACAAAATCTGTAAGGCTCTTTTTCCCTCTAATTCACACATACAGTTGCAGGCCGTGGTCCCTCCTCCTGGGCCATAGTGGATAAAGGTGAGAAAGAATAAACACTGGTACCCTCAGGGATATAGCATATCGATGAATGAATCCAGCTAAACTGTTATCAGTGTAAACACAAACACTAAGATCATCAGATAGAACAGTTGAGCCACAGCAAGAGAGAAGAGAGACTAAAGACTGCCACAAGCAACCATGAGAATGGAAATCCAAAACAACACATGCTGAAAATATGGAAGATTAAACAACTCAAAATGGAACAGAGAGGATGGAAAGTAGATGAAGACATACAACTGGGTAAGCCTTATAGTCAAGAAGAAAACAAAATGGGAGATAATGGGCACCCGAATGAAAGGGGGATGGAACAGCTGATGCAGTGGAGAAACAAAGAAAATATATACAGCTAGAGGCTGAGAAGGGGACAGGACAGCCCCAAAAAGAAGTAATTGACAATTAAATGAAGAAAAGTCAGAGGAAAGAGAGGTGGAGAAAAATAGGTAACAAAATGAGAATAAGGATGTATATCTCAAGTTCAGTTTTCAATGTGTGTACGTTGGTTGGCGGGGGGGGGGGGGGTGGTATCATACCAGTCCAGCAGTCATGACTTCACACTGTCCACAGATCACTCCCTTTAGTCTGCTTCTTCTTCCTATTCCAGCACCAACAGCAGGGACTTTGCATGGAGGTGTCGGCTTAGATGGAGCTAACAGAAAGCACAGTGACAAATGTAATTTATCACTACTAATATTTTAGCATTTTGACACATTCAGTACCGCACACAGTGAAAATTGTTCAGTGTCATGAATTATTTTGAGGATAAAAGAAGAAGTACCCCATACTTTTGTGCTGTGAAAAACAAAACGCAATTACCATGGTTCTGCAAATCTATGGAATTTCTGGCCCATGTTTTGAATTTTACATTTATAAAAAACTGTTTACCCCAAGGTCAGTTTAAGGTGTATAACGTGTTGCTATACATCTTTAAATAAAAAAATTAAAAATAATTTATTAATTCAAAGCTTTTTGGCAGTATTGGCCAGTCTTTAACAAGCTGATGCCCTGAAATCACACTGTAACAATTCACCTGTCATAGTTAGACGATAAGTGAACACTAGTTTTACCACTGCTGATCATAGTTCCATCCATCCATTCATTTTTGTAAACTCTTATTCCCTGATGGGGTTGCGCGGGGGAACTGGAGCCTGATCCAGCAGTCAATGCGCGAGAGGCGGGGTACACCCTGGATGGTGTGCCATTCCATCGTAGGGCCACACAGAGACACACAAAGACGAACGACCACACACACTCACTCCTCAGGGCAATTTGGAATGTCCAATTAACCTAAGATGCAGGTTTTTGGACAGTGGGAGAGTGAGAACCCAGAAAGAACCCATGCAGACACAGGCAGAACATGCAAACTCCACACAGAAAGATCCTGATTCCCTTGGGGACTCAACCCAGAACCCTCTTGCTGTGAGGCGATGGTGCTAACCACCACACCACCATGCCACCCCGCTAATCGTAGTTGTCCTTCAATATTAAAGCCAAAGTATTGATAAGAACAGGATGTTTGGATGTTTTCTAGACAAATGTTTAGTCAACATCCATGACATAATAGTGAAAATATCTCAAATTTTGATGTTTTGTTGGGGCTGTAAATCTCTCACCTGTCAGGGGTTCATCTTTCAGCAGTCTAATCTTCAGTTTGCCTGCTGACAGCTGTTGACACAAAGTTGTTGTCAGTATGCTTTGAAGTAATGTATTCACACCATATGATTTGCACTGCCACATCGTTCAAATAGCTGGTTGTGAACGTAAAATAAATGGCAGGATGCAAAATAGTGCCTGAAAAAGCTATTAGAAATCTGATACAGAGCATAACCGAATCATGGCAATGTGCTACAAGAAACATGCAAAGATATACTTTACCTTTTCGATATTGTTTGTCTTGAAGTTGTTTGATAAAGAACTGCCTTTTGAAGAAAGACACTTTCTAGATGTCCACCTGAACACTCTTGAATGTCTAAACAAAAAGAAATACATGTTTCATTGTATTACAAAGTCTCTTCAGATTTTCTTTTTTCTTCCATTATTCATTTTAAATTGGGTACGGCCATACCATACAAAATACTTGAATAAGAGGTCCATCTCTTTTAATTATTGAAAAGATGTTTGTTTTTTAAAAACAATGAATGCAAATGGAACAATGGAAATGTTATAATGGTCAGACAAAATCCTAACCCTTCCATGACGGAAAGTCAGACATTAAAAAGCTGTGGTAGGTATGGGGGAAATAAACGAAGATGCTGACAAGTGTGAAACGCCAATGAGAAAAGCCAACAATGGTGTGAAGAACAATAGATATAACATCCTAAGTGGATCAGCTGGATTCACATGAAACCTTAAGTGGGCACGGGGAGAGCTGCAAAGCATGGTTTTATGTATGTATTCCACTTAATTCAGTTTGGATTGCTGAAATGAATTTCATCTGTCTGTTTTTGCACCCATCATCTTCAGGAAATTGACTAACAATGAGTGAAGCCATCAGGGACAGAAAAGAGAAAAAAACAGAGAAAAAAAAGAAAATTTCCATTTCATCTTGTTCTACTCTCCCCACCATTTACAAAAGCAACCACTTCTGATCTCAAAGCTGTATTTGATTGTGTAGTATGCTTGTTTCTGGATGATTCAACAAAGGTGCACAAATGATCACTGACAGGATGACAATACAAAAACACAAATATAAAAAGTAAGTTTACACAATCCATGCATGTCAAAGATAATATTTGAAGATTTGCTCAACCACACAAATGCAAGGTATGCCTTGATTCAAATGAATGTGCCTTTTTAATGGAAACTGTTTTTTGAGCCAAAACGATTCTTCACACATTCACAAACTGATTTGAACTTCTTTTCCTGAAAAACGTTGCCCCAAAAGGTTACTGTATTGTCTTTTCAGGCTTAATTCTATAGCAATTTGGCGGATAGCATGCCCATTTGTTTGATGGGGGTCTTGTCATTTGATCAGCCCCTGGTTGGATCCTGGAAGCATGCATAAAAGTTAAGCTCATAAAATGTGGATTTCAGGGCTGCTCTTCTGCAATTTTGGTTTGTGGTTATTACAGTCAGAGGGGAAAGC